CTGTATTTAATCGAAGATAGTACGCCAGGTTCCATTTTATTGCTGTATTAACTAGCACTTTTCCCTACTGATATGTCCCTCTCAGCGACATGATTTTTGGCGATTGGTTTTAAAAAACCATCATAATTATGGAAGTTTAATTATGGTATAGCAGTGCTGTACCGGAAGATTCTTCTAGTACATGATTTGTGGCAATTGATTCTGGAGAGCCATCATGATTTGGGAAGTTCCATTTCTGGAGCATCAATGCTGTACTCGAAGATTTTTGAAGTAACATGATTTTTTATTATCAACATTGTTTCGGAAGATTCTTGTAGTAACATGGTTTTGTAAATTTGGTTTTTTATTATCAACATTGTTTCGGAAGATTCTTGTAGTAACATGATTTTGTAATTTTGATTTTTTATTATCAACATTAATTCGGAAGATTCTTGTAGTAACATGATTTTGTAAATTTGATTTTTTATTATCAACATTGTTTTAATGTTGATGACGGAAAACGTCATCTGGAAATTTTTTAATGACAATATACATTCGCATATTTGTTTTATTATATAATATTTTTACTAAGCATTGTACATATTTCATATTGTATCTCGACTTTGCTGGTATATATTTTTAAGTGTTTTTGTACATACAATATTTTCACTTGCATAACATATATTTGAATTCATATTGTGATTATGTTTTATATAAGTATGCAGTTATATTTTAATAAATAGTCTTTCATAATGTTTCAACATAACAGACAGCTAATTTCACCATTCTTAAAACATTCTGTCAGCCTCGCCCTAACTCCTAAGCAATTTATCATATTCAAAGAGGGTAAACATCCAAAGTACATAATTACTGACTTTTCATAATATTCAATTTATTTGTTATGATTGTTGGAACAAGTATTTCTAACAGCAGAAAGTGCAGCACATTTGTAGAAGTTATGATTCTTTTCTAATTTGCTGCGGATGAGCAACTTCTGGAGGAGATCGATTGAACTGAAAAGAAATTAAGAGAAATAACTCTTTCGAATTATCTCCCATTCTCCTCCATTTTTACCATTAAGTTCCTTCACGGGTTTCCTCATTATATACACATAAGAACCAAAATTTATCTTTTAACGATCGTTTCAGCAATTACTTCTTCATTATTGCGTGCATCATCAAATCCGCTCGAAAATTGGCACTGACCAAAAGAACAGGTTTCTTTGGTGAAGGACAGTTTCTCATTTGGCGTAAGTACCGGATATGTTTACCTGCTCGCATAGATGCGTATAATTCACAAAGATATTGAGTGATTGAGTATGAATAAAAAATGCTGAAATATCGTATACTCACTAATACGTGAGTCGGTACTTGAAAAGACATTTTTTTTTCTTTTTTTAAAACCATCTGCTTTATTAATATCAATTTTTACTAGTGAGCACCCAAATTTTACTTCAATCAAATTCACAGCATACAGAAATCGGGCAAAAAAATTTATCTTCGTGTTCCATCTTCAAAGAATACTCCACCATCCAGTGCACAGTATTTCGGACATATGCCCCGTTCACCTTGTGGTCCAGGTTGACCAGGCGCACCAGTATCTCCGTTTGCACCAACATTTCCGGGTGGTCCAGGAGGTCCTGGTGGGCCAGCTGGTCCAAGGCCTCCTGGTTGACCATCTCGTCCAGGATTTCCATTTGCCCCAGGCAGACCTGGTGGTCCTAAAATTTGGTCTTCTATCTTGTTCACAAAAAAGTTTCAAACTTGACTACATGCTTATTTTGAAGATGGACGAAATTAGGGAACAGAATTGTCATAAATATTATGAGGAACATGCCTGGTTCTCCTGGCTGTCCTGGATCACCTGCGATTACTGGTGTGCTTGCTGCTGGCCTTCCTGGTTCTCCTCTTTCACCATCAGTTCCAGGCTGTCCTGGTGGTCCTGGTGGTCCAACAGGTCCAGGTGGTCCAGCGTTACCTAAATATGCATGGATCTTTTATCAATATTGCTATTGCTGTGTTAAGTCACTACGTTTAGTTACATTGCAGGCTTACTTGTTTGAAAAATAGTGGTCTTCATGCATTTTAAAGTTAAAGCAATAAAATATAATTGCTTAAAAAGGCGTCTACAAAAATTACATACGCAAATTTTTCGATGAAAAAAAGAGGAAACAACAAAAAACTTGAATTAATGATTATTCACCATTGTTTCCTGGTCTACCTGGAGAACCAGGTCTTCCAGGATTTCCGGTCAAACCACTAGGTCCTGGTGGTCCCGGTGGTCCTGGTGGGCAGGGATTGCACGGTGGAATATCAACTTCTTCACAAACTATTGGTGGTCGGCCTGGTGCACCTAAAAATCATTGGCTGTTTAAAACAACATGCAGTTAAAAAATGAAATAATTTAAATTCATTGAAAAAACACCATGAAAAAAGCACAACATTTGTATGAAAAGAACTTCATAGTGCAAAAACTTTACCTGGCCGTCCTGGGGCTCCTGGCGTTCCTGGTTTTCCATTTGCCCCTGGTGGTCCTGGCCGTCCAGGATGACCCGGTCTGCAGCAGCCTGTAAATTTATTCAAATGATTGCATGCAAATAATTTCAATTACTTCCTGTAATTCAGAAATTTTTGTATTGGTGATTTTTAGGAAGGTCATTATAATCTTGATTTGTAAACATCGCAAAATCTTACTGTCACAAGATCCGATTTGCCTTTTTGTCCTGTTAGTTGCAACAGCTGTGAAAGTAACTGGTTGTTTCCTTGTTACTTCTGACATGATGTCTCTTGCTGATGACTAAACAGTTATATTATCAAAATTTCTAAGTTCAGCAATCACTAATCTGTGAGGAACATGAATCATTAAATTATAGTGATTTTTAGTCATTAAATAAGATAGCAATTTTAATGCTATAAAAATAAATAAAATGAAAAAAACAAGTATTCAGATATAATAAATATTTTTAAAAACTTTTCCTAAAAAGGCGATTGTTGTAATTTGAATTGGTAAAACCAAGACCACTTTTAATTACATCCTGTGTAATTGAAAAATTAAAGAGAAAGGAAGAAAAAGCGAAGACTACATCAAAATAAAATAATAGTTAGTAATTAATCATTACTCGATAATTTAAATCATAATTTGGTTGTCTTTCTTTTTCTTGCAAAAAATTGTAAATTGTAAATTTTTAGCATTTTGTAGCGATGATGCAAATAATTTGTAAGAAGCTGTTGTAGCTAGTAAAGCAAAAAATTAAAAAAAAGCGAAAAGTTTTTGAAAGAAACAAGTTAAGATTAGAGCAATGCTGGTATTAAAATTTAAATGAAATAAAAGTGAAAAAATTAATAAACTACAAATATCATACTTACTTTACAAAACTGAAGATCCTTGCGTGTTTGCTGTTGTATATGATCAACAAAGCTGTAGACAATTGGCATAGTGATAGATACTGATAATATAGATATCAGTGAAAAGGTAACAGCTGCATATGCAACCGCTTTGTATGCGCGTTCCCTCTGCTCCTCCATTTTTCGTCACCTTAATAACGTCCTGGTAGATCTTTTATACCCCTCCGGGAACACTGGTTCTCGGTCGCCGTCGTGGAACGTATATACATACAAAAAATTGTTGTTGAGCATCTCTCTAAATATTACTTGCAATGCCCCATTCCTTCCACTACACCTTATCACCCTTTTCACTTACCCCTTCGCCTTGCCTTCTCTAAAACCTTTTGTCATTTCCCTCAACCAATTCTTTCTCCGCGTTTTCCCGGTACTACTTGTTATTCTTTCCTTTTTCGATAAAGTAGTCATGTATCCACTTATCACCGGATATTTTGCACTTCCATAACACTCTGCAGCTCTCTACTTATCCCTGACCTTATCAGCATCATCTGCCCTCATCTGATCAGCATATTATCTCTAAATTTTGCTTCAAATATCTATTAACTTTTGCAATTTGTTGTTGACTACTATTTGATCTATTTTATTGGCTACTATTTGCTTTATTTCACTATCCTTATCATATATCCATCAGTACGACTAATATGCTGAAAATCAGATCATGCATTTTACATTCATGATTTAAATGTTTGGCTTAACAAATTGTTCAACAACTTCATGTTTTCTTTTAGCAATTTTCAAAATTCAATTTCAGCGCATTCGTCTTAAAATCTGTGCTCTATTGCAATAAATTTTTGTGATTCATTTCCCTGAGTAGGTATTCATAAATGAACTGCATTTATTGACTCTTCATTTATCCACAATAACTTTTTATAGACTGTCATACTTTTTTAATACATGCATGGCTGAAGTATGACGTTTTTGTTTGTAAAAATACAATGCATGCACTTCATAGTCATTCTCCTTAATTTTCTTCGAAATTCACACCTTAATTTTTTTTCATTCATTTATTCTAGAAGACTAAAATTTGTCAGCTGAAGGTGTTGAATCCATATTTGTAGGTGCATCTTTAATTCTATAAAAAGCAAACATTGAAAATGATGTTGTATGTAAGCATTCTGAAATATTTGCAGTATTGATACACTCACAGAAACATTTTTAGACCTCTTGCAGTATTAATGCAAATGAAATTAATATACCGGAAAATTGGAGGAATGTCGGTTGAGATTGAATAGAAGCATCAAATGAAGGTAATGTAATTATTGCAATAGTGTAATTATAATTTATAGTAACTTTAATTGAAATATTTAATGCTTACATTCTGGATATCCAATGAAAGTACAATACGAAATTACTGATTTATTCCACAGCTGTTAGAATGTTTGACAAGGCTATATATAAAATACTTTACTGTTCAAATTTCATTCTTTGTAATATCTCCACAATACTTCAATTTAAGAACTAATAATTAAGACATTACATTGTCATAATTAGAATATGAACTTCAGATAGAGCACATTAACTTGTTATTGTTGTTGCTAGCTTGGAATGAAATTAAAAATCTTCAAGTGTCTAAAATAAAAGATATTTGCATTAAACATAATATAGAAGTTTGATATAAAAAAGATAGTCGAAAAAGCAAGAACTTGATTAAAGTATAGCTAACTTTGGATAAAAACTTTGCATGTTATTCAAATAAAAATTCCCCAAAAATTTTAAATTGTAAAATTGTTTGCGGAAAAATTTATGTGCTTTAAAGCATAAATTAAATCCGTTATTTAGTGCTTATAGTTATTTTGTATCAAAATTTATCACTTTTGAGTAAACTTTTGGTAAAATGATCGTTGTGGTTTTTAGCAAAAATTTTTGCAATTAAATTCAATTTTTTTAACTTTATCAGACAGTATTTGTTTCGGTATCTGCGTCTTTTTTCAGTTCTGATTCGTTTATTTAGTTAACATGGACGTTGCACTATTATATAGATGAATGAAAAAAATGAAAGTGACACAAAGTCGTTATAAAAAAATTAACGACACTTGTCTTAAACTATTCTTCACTTCCTTTGCTGAGAGGAAAGGAACGAAAATTCTACTAATAGCTTTGTGATTACTTTTACACTATTAACAAATGAAGAACATCTTCAGTATTTTCATTCCTTAGAAAACAATAAAATAACAATAAACTCTTTTTGGTATTTATTGCCCGTGTAATGTCGTCCCATTTGCAACTGTTCTTATAGTTACAATAGGGTTGCGTTCGTTTCAGATCATCAAGAAATTGCAATTTTCATTCCCATTTAGGCATTTATAGTCATTTAGCGCTTTATTTCGTCAATATCTTATTAAAATAAACATTTTTAGCTCAATATAACTGATTATTTTATATTCTTCAGTGGAGTGGAAGCAAATAATTTAATTTACTACCTCTCAATTCTGAACAAGACTTTATTAGTTTTGCTACATAAATCTTTCTCATGTAATAAATTAATCAGATCATCACTCCACCAGTTTTTACGTGATTTATATACACTTGTATACAAACAAAGAATTTAATCAACTTTCGATAAAATAAACTTCAGTAATAGATATTGTGAGTGTCGAATATTTTGATAAAATTTCTTTTTATAGAAATCAAATTTACTCAGAGAATATTTTATGCACAATACGAAGTTCATGAAACTTTTGTTCACTAATGCTTCTTCTCATTTCAGTTCTTTCTCCGCACAATTCCACACTTTCAAAAAGTGTCAAAATTCTTAGTTTTTGTCACATGGACGTTTTGGTACTAAATTATGTACAAAATAACATAGTACTTTCTATTATTTCAATTGTATTGTCACCTTGTTAAATTTATTTATTATATGGTTAATATGCTGTTTTGCTTTTTCTTGAAGAACTTTAAAATGAAAAAGCACTTACTGTGCCTTTAATAAGTCTTTGCCTTGCCTCGTGCAAATTTCCCATTTTCAGTCAAAGACACAATGGTCAGATATTATCTCCAAAGGTGATAGCTTATTGACTTACTTTTCTGTGTCAGCTATATTTTTAAAGATAATGAACAAATTATCTGTAAAAATATAACTGACGCAGATAGAAATTGGCAGTAATGTACAAAACTATGCGATATTTGTTAAACATTAGATTAATCTGGCAAAGTTACGTTGCTAGCACATCAGTGCAAAAAACAATGGAGTGAAAATTTCACAGTACGCGATTTGATATGAATTATTTGTCGCTTCTCAATTTCTTATTGTAATGCATGGCGTAAAAATGCTTGAAAAGAAGGGATGAAATAGAGGAGCGAAGATTTAAAAAAAACAGAATGTCAAGAAAAAAGATTATGATAACTTTCTATTTTCAACTTGTTTTTTTTGTTGAGATTTATCAGTGGAGAAAGCAAAATTGCAGTTCTTGATTTGTTTTAGAGGCAAACAGCTTCCCACTGAATATTGTATAATCTTATTCTTGACTGCTGTTTTGCTGCTTTATAGAATTTATATATTGTAGAAGATGCTTTGCAGTTTGATGTTGGCTTGCAAAAGGCAATGTTTATGTAAGTAAGCAGTTTGTTCGTACAACAAATTGATTCTAAGTGCTTTGCTCAAGCCAGATAAAATCTCACTCCATTTTCAGCATATTTTAATGAGATTCATTCAAGCACTCCAGCAATTAATATATTTTATTAAAAATAAAATAAATTATGTAATAAGTTACTCAAAACATAAGAAATATTTATAGATACTTGGTTTAGAATTACGATCAAATGATGAGAGCTTTCACTTAAATAATGCCAAAAAGTAATTCATTTAATCACACATTCATATTTGAAGTAGATTCTTTTACATTCTTTTAAGTACTAAGAAAAAAAAATGATAGAATAGTGAAAACAATAGGAATGGCAACAACGACACACTAAAGAAAATCAAAACAGTTGACAGCAAAAAGGTGTTAAAGTGAAGATGGAAAGCATTCAAATGCTCATATCAAGTACCGCCTATATCCATCTTTTTATTGACTTGTTGAATTTTTTGTTTTCGCCGAATTTGATTGTCGACTACAAAATTTGCAATAACGGCAAGACGTACTGGATGCAAAGATAACTCTATAAAGTAGAAAATCTTATAAAACAATGCTGCTGAATTCTGACATATATCACTAATTTATAATTAATTAATGTACAAACTAACTAGCTACATCTTATTTTGATACATTCACTGTGACATTACTTATTTATACAAGCCTCACACAAGTTTCCACTTTCAGTGCACATACTCGCAAATATTGAACTAACATAAATTACCTATTAGCCATATTACAAGCAGCACAATTTTTCAGAATGTGAGATTCATTTTTTGCTGTTTTTTGAACAAAACTTTCGCTAATTATAAACATTGGTGGTGTTGTTACAGAAACGATGAAATCTGGGAAAGATCATTATAATAAAGCAAGCATGTCCCAATGAAGAAGTAAACATGAACTAGCAAACAACAACTCCACATTGCATGCAATGACACCACGTAACGGACGAAAAGCAGAGGCGATGCTAAACTTCACTTCCCTTCCTTGCTCACTCGCTCTCTCTCTTACACACACACGCAAGCTCATATTCCTTCTTCTCACTTTACTTCATCGTTTTCAATGCTCAGATTTGGAATAAGTGCAGGAATTTGAAAGTCTAAAGCCACATCTTCTCTCCGACAGTGTCAATTATATTGACAAATAAAGCTCAGTAGTTATTTCCATATTTGAGCAAGCTATTCCCCAACTTTTATAACATCAAATCTACTGTAATAGAAAAGAAAAAGCCCCCTCACTCAGTACTTATCTAAGCATTCTTTTATTTGCACAGCATATTTATAGTTAAAACCATAAATCTGATTTATAAAGTAGAACAAAACAGCTCACTCAAGACTTTTGCCACTACTCTTTTGAACGCAAACGCCTTATATTCGAGTTTTTTTCATTGCGCATGTGCAAAATTTAAATTACTTCTATTAATATTACGCATATGAAGTACTGGTA